AGCACCCACATAGAGACAGCCCTTATAGATCCCACGCAGGCACTCCCAGCCATCACCCAACCCCACACATGCATCTATTCAGACCACTGTTCAGGCTCACATGTCAGTATAAATACACTCTGGGATTAGGTAGGTCAACAATACCCAAGTGCTATGTCGCTGATGCCCAGCCCAGTGCAGGGGATGGAGAAGGACTCAGCAGGCTTTAGTTGAACAAATGGATAAATAGGGAGCCTGGGTGGCTCAGTGGGTTAAAGCCTCTGCCTTCGACTCAGGTCATGATCTCGGGGTCCTGGAATTGAGCCCCGCATCGAGCTTTCTGCTCAGCGAGGATCCTGCTTCCCCCTCTCTCTCTGCCTGCCTCTTTGCCTACTTGTGATCTCTCTCTCTCTGTCAAATAAATAAATAATCTTTAAAAAAAAGATTCTCTTAAAAAAAAAAAAAAAAGGAGGGGCGCCTGGATGGCTCAGTGGGTTGGGGCCTTTGCCTTCGGCTCAGGTCATGGTCCCGGGGTCCTCGGATCGAGCCCCGCATCGGGCTCTCTGCTCAGCAGGGAGCCTGCTTCCCTTCCTCTCTCTGCCTGCCTCTCTGCCTACTTGTGATCTCTGTCTGTCAAATAAATAAGTAAAATCTTAAAAAAAAAAAAATGGATGAATAAAGTGAAGGGCACAAAATAAGCCAGAGGTTGGCACGGAGAGCAGACGGTGCTGAGACATTCCCATGGATAAATGGAAAGGCCTGGCAGTGGGGGTCAAGCTTCAGTTTTTATCCCAGTTAGAGACCCACAGGCAGGGACTTATATTAGAGATTGTGCTTGTGCTTGATATTCTATTTTGAAAATTGGTCCAATTTTTTTTTTTTTTAAGTGGTGGGGAGTATTAAAGAGCACTTGAGGGTTTTAGGAAAGAAGGCAGTATGCTCACCACTATACCAACAACACTGCACAGGGTTTCAGGAAGGAAGTTGAAACCAATACCTTACCTTCTGTGTGTAACTATGGGGACACTGAGAACGTCAGAGAATTAAGGGTGGGTTGGTTAGAAGGAAACCATAGGAATGAAAAGCAAGGCAAGCAGTAACTCCAGGAAAAACCAAGAGTTTCACAAGAAAGGAAATGTAATCATCGTATGAGATTTGGCTTGGCAGGAAGTAATATTTGTATAGTTACAAAATAATAACACTAAATATGCACTTAATGGAAAATTGTGATAAACACAGATCAAAAGGATAGGAGGTGAAAAAAGTTAACTCTTCTTTGATAATAATAATTATAAAAAGAAACATTTTGACCACTTTCAGAGTAATTATTTTGTTGTACTTTACATGTTAAATCTTCATAACAACCCAATAACTTAAATATTCTTATTACTCTCACTTTACAAGTGAGGAAACTGAACACAAGGAGGTTAAGTCACTTGCCTGGGGTCATCAGGCCAGGAGGGGGAAGGGCTGGGATTCAAACCCAGGCAGTCAAGCTACAGAAGCAACACTGTGAAGACATCAGACTGGAAAGTCAGGCAATATTTGCCTAAAACTAATCCAGAAAAATACAGGAAAAGCATCTTATTTAGAAATATGGAAAGAAGTACCAGAAGAAACAGTTAAAAGAGTTGGATGTGGCTGTTTTGGGGGTCAGGAGTGGGAAGCTCATGACAAAGAAATATTTTATGAGCACTATTGAATTTATACAGATTCATAGATATAGCCATAGGAATGGGACAGGAATTGACAGAGAAGGGACACGAGGGAATTTTCCATGGTCATGGTGTTGCTCTATATCCTGACTGGGGTTTGGGAACAGTGTACATTTGTCTAAAGTCAAATGGTACCTTTAAGATCTGTGCATTTCACAGGATGTAAATTTTATACATACACACGGGAACTGTAAACAAATACCGAGCTCTAATGATATGCATGCCAAAGTGCCTTTAAGGGGAAGCATATTGATGTTTGCAACTTACTTTGAAAAGCTTGAAAAAAATAGGCTGTCTTAATGGATGGATAGACGGGTAGATGCCCGATAGAGCACATCTAACAAAATACGGAGAACTGTGCATCCTGTAGGTGGGTATTTAAGTGTTTCCTATATCATTCTTTCAACTTTTCTTTGATATTTTTCTTAATAAAGTGTTGGGGGAAATAGATGAATGCATTACCTGAAAAACAGTATCCCTTTTTAAACCTGAATGGGGTGTTCTGTCTTGGACCTGGGAAGACCCACACAGCTCTAAGCCCATGTGCAGGTCTATCTGGTGGGGTAGCTGTCACCATGACCTTGTCTATGTCCACTCCTACCCTGGGATCTAGAGTCAGGGCCCTATAGACTAATTCCTCAGTCCCTCCCTGCTCCCCCTGGACAGAGGGTGTCAGGCAGGATGGGTGTCTCCTCTTCCTGGTCCCCTTGAATACCTCTGTAGCAGAACCAGAACCATTTCACCAGGGAAAGGAATAAGGGCCCTCTAGCTACGTCCCATCCTCTGCCAAAAGGGTACACTGAGGCCTGGCGGGTGGGGACAGGTGCCTTTCCCAGGGGCCCATCACACCTTCACGACAGGCATGAGCAGCCAGATTGCTGGGCTCCCAAGCCCACGTGTATATAATTAGCTGCTGGGAAATAGATCTGGGAGCAGATCTCATCTCTGCCTAATTAGGGGCTGGGCAGCTGGGGCCAGTCTGGCCTGGGGCGCTGCTATGGAAGCCAGGCAGCCCCAGGGGAGGGAGCAGCAGCTGCTGGCCCTCTTTGCTCACCGCCCCTCACACTCCAACTGCAGGCAGAACAATAGAGGGGCTGTTTCTGCAGATCCCCGAGGTGGCAGAAGCCCCCAGCTACAGGGAAGGCTGATGGACTCCAGAATTCTAGCAGAAGGGAAGCCCTCCTGGAACCAGGGACCAGGAAACACCTTCTCCACTTCCAAGAATACCTTCCTGCTCTCTTCCCAGCAGACCCTCCCAATGCCCTTCTTGACTCCCCCGGGCCCAGCTCCTGGGAACAGGTCTGGTCTTAGGGCAGATGTCGCTTCTCCACAATATGTGACCACGTGTTTGCTGATCGGCTGCCCATTCCCTTCCATCAGATATAGCAGGAACTATGTCTGTCTTACTGCTGGGCACCCAACAGATGCTCAATAAAGTGACAGCAGGAAAGGCTGCCAGGACCCAGGACAGGGAAGAGAGGAGAGTCAGGGAGGCAGAGTGCCCCTGACTATGGGGTGTGACCCCAGGCTAGAGTGCAGACCCTCTCTGTGATATATAGCCACTACCCCTCCTGTTCTCAGACAGACCCTGAAAAGTCACCTTGAAGACTCAGTGACAGGTTGAGTGTGAAAGGTCTGCACCTAGGACTCAACCTCCTCCAGGAATGAGGGGTCTCCCGGCCCATCCCCACCAGTCCTGTGATCTCAAACCAAGAAACCCCTTGGGTTTCTGGGGTTCTGGCAGCTCACGTGAAGGGGCAACGCTTACTTAGCACAGAATTCTGGCCAGGTTGCCAGAAGGAGCTGGTCCTTGACACCTCAAAGGATGTCTCCTCTGCAGAGCCCAGATTATCCCTCCTGACCCCATCACTCCTTTAACTTGGGGACCAGGAAGCTCAACTCTTGTGTTGTCAGACCTGCTGGGTATCTGTGGGCAGATTATAGCCCTCCCTGTGCTTCAGTCTCCCCATCTGTATCACGAGGGGGTGGATTCCATTCTCATGAGCTTGAACACCACTCTCCTCTATAACCCAGTTTCCCCTTTCCCTGAACCACCGAGGCCCAACCCAATCCCCTGGGGGCCTGACTACACTGTCAGACAGACAGACAAACAGCTGGGCTGACCTGGATGTTTGTCAACAGCCCAAAGGAAATCTACTCTTTATGCTTAAAATAAAACTTACATCAAACCTGTCACCAGGGCCCCCATTTGAGCTTCCTGTTTCTGAGTGCTGCAGCCAACACAGCCTGCGGGAGAGGAAGCACCACCCAGCCCTTCCCCACTCCCACCTCTAGGGTGGGCAGAGGCCACCCAGGCTTTCGTTCTTTGTGTGCCCAGCCTTAGCCCGAGCTGTACTACCAGCCAAGAGTGGCATCTCCCAGCAGGGAGCCTGCCTGGAGGGAAACAGGGAGGAGCTGAGACCTCAAAGCCCAGTGCCAGCCATCTTTCCCCTTCCTCTAGCCCCTGAGGCCCAGAGAGGGAGACTGGCTTATCCCAGCTCACCCAGGGTTGGAGGCAAGGCCACCTGTTTTGTGCTGTCGACCCCCTGCTTCCAACCCCAGTCTACAGCCTGTGGCACCTCCAGATCAGGCTCTGTGCTCTCTGAGCTTCCTGGGCAGCAATGGGAACGACCCATGCAGCCATCAGCTTTTCCCCTTGCAGGTCCCCTTCCTGACACAGACCTCAGTCCTGGCTCTATCTGGATTCATTCTGTAGCCAGAGTCAGTTTCCTCCCCTATGAAGGAGGCCCTCAGGTCACCCAGAGGGGTTATGAGAATCCCCTTTCACGTCTCAAGTCTCAGGCTGGGCCAGCCACTGACCTCGTGCCCCGCCCCCATCCCCAAATCCCAGGATGAACAATTATGGAATTCTAATCCAAGACGTCTCCCTCCCCTTCCCCTTGTGAACACAGAAGAGTCTGATGACCCAGGCCTTGAAAAACAAGCATTTGTGTTTATTAACCAAAGGGAGGAAGTCAGAGCAGTACAGACTCCTACCAGTCCCTCCTGTAGTCTACCCACCTAGGCCAGGTGGCCAAGGCCCTACCCCCACCCTGAGCAAGTTCCCAGGGAACCAGGGCCCGCTGGGAAAGGAAGAGGAAGTCAGCAAAGGTTAGAGGCCAAGGAAGAAGGAAACAGAACTGCTCGGTGGACAGTGCCCCTCACTCTCAGTGGAGAAGGCTGAGTGCTCCAAATCTAAACCCAGGAGAAGAACCAGGCAGGACTTGTGTCAAAACCCCTACAAGTGAGGGGTAGGGGTTGCCCAAGGTCAACAGGCAACCCTCTCCAGGGTCAGCCCTTGACAGATACCGCCCAGCCTCTGGTCTGTCCCAAGCCAGGGAACGGATGCAGAAGAGGTCAAGAGCCCAGCTGCCTCTCCTGGATGTGTCCTGTGCAAATGCGGAGTCCAGTGGAAGCCTAGCCCTCCGCGGCGGGGGCACCGCGTGCCTGCCGCAACCCATACAGCCACTTGATCACTCGCGCGTTGCGCTCTACCACCGACACACCGTAGGGGACGCGCTCCCGAGACCGCTCCTCAACAGTGGCAGAGCTACGGCGGGAGCAGTCCCCCTCCGAGCTGCCAGGCCCGGCACTGGGCCCCGCCAGGGAGACGATGTCTGAGCTGGCCCTCGCCAGGTGAGCCACGCCCAACCCCCGTGCCTCCTCCGGGTCCAGGCCGCAGAAGTTAAAGAATCGCTCCAGGTCAGCTGCTGCTCTGGAAAAGCGCTCACTCAAATCGGACTTGGAGCGCTGCAAACCTGGGGGCCGGGCTGGGCTGGAGGCGGGGACAGTGCCTGGCGATGGGCAGGGCCGGGCAGGGGAGGCGGGGAGAGGACGGACATCCACTCGGCGGACAGCAGCTGTACTGGGTGGCGGGCGTGGAGGGTTGGCTGGGGGCGCCTGGTGGGCTCCTTCTGTCCGTCCAGGAGTACGGCTGGCCTCAGCAGGGGACGCAGGGCTATCACACAAGTCGATGAGGCTGCTAAGGATGTCCAGGTCCAGCTGGGGCCGACGGCCAGGGCCAGGCAGTACTCGGCGGCTAGGTGTGAGCACTGTGCGGCGAGTCCCAGGGCTGAAGAGGGGCTGCTTGGACAGCAGGGGCTGCACAGGTTCCTGGCGGGTGTTGGCCACGTGCAGGCTCTTGACATACTTGGCCTTGTCAGCCTCCAGGCGCTCCACAGCACTAGGTTTCCGGGCTCCACCATCTGCTGGCCTCCGGAGCAGGTAGCCAGGCACTTTGGTCCGCAGGCGGAAAGGTAGGGCAGATGTGTCCCGGGATCCCGGAGTCAGTGTGTCCACAGGCATGGCTGTTACATACCCCAAGGGCTTTGGTCTAAGGAGACCGGAGAAACGCGGAGACAGATCCAGAAAGTAGGCAGCTGGATGCTGGCAACTGCTACAAGGGAGGAAAGAAAGAGGCTGAGCACGCTCAGACAAAGGCTCAGCCAAGACTGAAAGGGGCTGAAGACGCCTTCCCTATTAAAAGCTAATGGACACGCCCCCTCGATCACAGGGAGCCAATCAGCAGACAGAAAACCACCACTGAGGGGCCTGTGACTCCACCCACACCCCCGCCTCCTTCCCAGAGGACTAGGCCCCGCTGAGGCATAGAGAAAATGAGAAGTACCAAAGAAAGACGTGAGTAGCATGGGCAGAAAAGACAGGGCAAGGCATGCTTTAAGGGAAGGAAAGTGGGCTCCAGGCCGTATACTGGGCACCAGCCAGCTTAACCTCAGTGGGTCCCCTTAACAGCTCTATTTTGCAGATAGGGAACTCAACCAACTTGATTAAGTTAACCCCCCAAGTTGGTGGCTCTGGTCCCTTGCTTCCAAGCAGGGAGGTGCTGCTGGTGCACCTGGTGACCCAGAGAAAGGGCTCCAACCCACACGCTGCCTAAACTGCCCCCAGGGAACCTGGTACCACCTCCCACCCTTACCTACCCAGCCAGGAAGCTGCCCGGTACTATTCACCCGTCTAGACATGCCAAGCCCCAGGCAAAGCAGTAGAGCTGGTGGAGGAGGAGTGTAGAAAATCTCCACCCCCTACCCAAGCGAAGTCCAGACACTCATCAGCTTCCAGGATGGGACTTCGGTGCCAGCCCCACAGTGATCCAAGGAGGCCTATCAGCTAGAAATGTCAGCCAGGACCTGAGCTATGCTGTTCCAAGAGAAGCCAGAAAAGCCCACAATCACACAACCCTGCTTGAGAGCATCCAGCCGACCCTGGATCTGCCAGCAGCCAGAGGATGGGCACCCAGAGGCAAGGGGGCCCACACCGATGTGCTCGTGCTCAAGTGTCCACATGATCAACTAAGCATCAAGGCCTGGGGCCCCAAGCATCAGACCAGCCCTGGTCCTTTTTCCAAGAAAGGGCTGGAGCCACAGTATCCCCTCACCAACTATCCCAGAGATGGGCCAGAAGAAAACCCATAAACCAAGTCCTGAAACTTCTCATCTGTAAAATGAAAGAGGAGGACTTTATCTAGGTAATCCCCCAAAGGACATGTCATCTACACCTGTGTTGTATAATTCAACGGCTACTAGCCACATATGGCTATTCACCTTAGCTTTAAATCAAATAAAATCTTACACTTCTAGTTCCTCCATCATACTAGCCACATCTCAAGTGCTCAACAGCCACTATACTGGTCGATAGAGCAGACTGCAGATAAGAGATTTCCATCCATATCGGAAACCTCTATAGACAGCCCCATGTGGTCACCCAGAATGACAGGAGGCGAGTCTGGACTGGGGTGGGAAGGCAGGGATCCCTCCTGTGTGCTAGCCATTCAACACCATCCTCTCCTGGAATCCTCTAACAGCCTGTGAGAAGGGTCATTGTCATCTCATTTTACAGGTGGGAGAAACTGAGAATAGAGAAGCAACCATCCTAGGTCCCAGGGCCGATAAAAAAGGCACAAACTCCTATGAAGCCTAATGCACTCATCTGTGGCATTCATGTCACTTTACTCTTTGTTCTTCCCATTCCCCTAAAGTATCGGCTCCATGAAGGCAGGGGGTTTGTCTGTTTTCCTCACTGAATCTGTTTTGGGACATTGCTTTCGACACATAACAGGTATTCGATAAATTGTTACTGAACTGGAGTGTCCATGGGGACGAAACATGAACGGGAAGACCTTGGATAAACCACAGAGGGACACATCCAACCCACTGCAGGTACATGGGTCCAAGTTGGTAGGTATGGAATGTGCTAGGAGGCTAGAAATCCAGATGTGCACGAACACTCCAGATTCTTAAATCTCAGCAAATCCAATAATAATTTTTAAAACATGCGCAGAGCATGGAGCAAACATGTCTGCAAACAGATCTGCTCTCCCCACACAGATCTAGTCCCCAGTTTGAAACCTCTGCAGTGGCAGCAATGTCAAGTTACTAGAACCTTGGGGGCTACTGGCCCAGAGCCAGAGCTGCTCCCAAGGTAGGAGGGATGAAGTGGGAAGGTAAGGCTGCCCCACTCCAGCAACCCCCCAGGAGACCTCAGGAGGGAAGGGTCTAACAGGAAAGGCAGCCTTGCTGAGCCCTGTCGAGGTAACTAGACTCTGCCCCACCCCCGTGGCCACTGCCGCCTACCAAACCCGTCCAACCCGTTGGCGGTGGCAATTCCCTCCCGGGCACCATCCGGGGAAACAGAAGGAAGAAGGAGGTCAGATGGGCAGGGCCAGGGCAGAAGCCTCGAGCCCTCGGACCGACCTGCTGACCGCAGGGGCTCCCCCCGCGGCCGGACATACGCAAGGAGCCAAACCCGGCTAGAGGGCCACTGGCCAGCTCGCCCACCTGCCCGCAGTGTGCCCTGCTCCAGCAGCTGTGCCTATTACACACTCGGATGCCTTATCTGGAATAGTTAAAAATAGATCTGAGCCTCCAGGTCTCCGAGAGGATGGAGAGATAAAACAGGTCGAGGACCTTCCCAGCACCTGGCATAAAGGCTGCACTCCAAGAAGGGCTCTTGGTTTTTCTGATGACTCCCAAGACCTAACAGCCAGATTGTGCTCTCCGCCCACCTCCCCCTCAACTCCAGCCCAGCAGGGGTCTCTAAGCACGCTCAGCCTGTCTGAGCCGGAGCCACAGACAAAGGAGGCACGTGATAGAGGCAAATCCTAAACTGATCTGCTAAGCCCCATTTCAAAGGTGGGCAAACAGAGGTGTAGTGGCTCCCTCGAGTTAAAGCGGGGGTCCCAGTCCCCTCGATCTCTGAGGCCTCCTCTCATCGCCAACGCCCCACCCACGTATTTCAAATGCTACCCACAAAGGGCCCCCAGAGCGCCAACCGTGAGCCCTTCTCTTTGTCACCATACCCCCTTCCCACCTGCTTCCCTGGAGTCAGCCTGAGGGGTTGAGAGAGCTCAGATTCTCGATCTGGCTTCTGCCTTGCCCCACTTCGGGGCAAGCTTGGAGACTCCCAGAGGCGGAGGAGGCCGCGAGCCGGCCGGCGCGCTGTGTGACCCTGGCCGCTCGCCACCCCTCTCTGAGCCCGGGTTGTCCTTGCTCTTAAGCCAGAGGGCTGACGGCAGGATTCCCGCGGTCTCGCCCAGGCGGGAAGGTGAGACCCTGCCCTGCCCGCCGCCTCTCCGAGAAGGGAGGGGTGGCTGGGCAGACCCCCCGAACCTGGCCCAGCGCCACCCGCCCGCACATACCTGGCTGCGCGCGCGCGGCTACGGAGCGCTCCTCCGGCCCGGCCCACCTGGCGCTCAGGTAACGCGCGTTTGCGCAACTTCCGGCGGCCAGTCCCCAGCAGGTGAACCCGCCGGCCCAGGTATCACCCGGAGGGGAAGAACGAAAGCCAGGCAGGGGCGGGAACCGGAGCCCGGGCGCCCCGGCAAAGGGCTCAGCTCGTCGCAGAGACCCAGTTCTACCCCCAGGAAGCTCTCCCGCGAGCCGGGGCCGCGCCCCCCAATAGCCACACTGGCCGCAGCCGCACCTCTGGCACGGGCAAGGGCACCCATCTTGGAGATGGGCAAAACTGAGGCCCCCTCCCCCACAGCCTCAGTACCCGCGATAATGTTGACTGTGCCAGGCACGAGAAAGTGCTGTTCCTGGTATTAATTAACCCATTTTAATGTTCTCAACAGCCCCTGTGAGGTGAACTCTATTATTATCCGCATTTAACTAATCGAATACCGTGGCTGGGACAGGTTGAGCCAGTTGGCCCAACGTCACCCTGAGGAGTCTGACCTGGGCACTTTCCCTCTAGACCAAGCCTTCCTGCCACCCCTTTCTACCTGTGTGTCCCTGAACAGGTTGCTTGGACCCCTCTGGCTCTCCATTTTGCCAAGTGAGGGGAATCTCACCCTCCAGGCCAGGTCAGTGGGAGTTTTTACCGTCTGAGAGGGCAGACAGAAACTCTGCAAGCTGTGAACATTAGTAACAACAGCGAGAGGAATAAGAACCAGAAATTTGGAGTTCCAGGCACTGTACTTCTGTAAGTCTCTGGACATCCACGCACTCCTCCAACCACCACCACCTGCACAGGGAGGAACTCTTTAATCCCCATTTTACAGATGAGAAGACTGCAACACTCAATAAGGAATCCTTGGGAGGGCCAAGACTGTCTCCTCTGCCAAAGGAAGCCCTATTATGTCACTTCAGGTGGCACACTTGATTGGGCCAGTTTGCATGGGGGTCCTGAGGCCCAGAGAAGGCAGGGCCCACCAGCCTCAGGGCCGAGCCCTGGGGAAGCCAAAGAGGGCCCAGTTCCATGTCTGTGCCAGTGGGGGCTGCACCCGGATTGGGGTGGAGGGCTGTGAGGGGACGGGAAGTGACTCAGAGAACAACTCTCCTCCCCCTGGGAGTGAGTCAGCTCTGAGGCCTCCTCCAGGCCCTGGAGCCTGATTTTAGGGGAATGAGGGAGGCGAGCCTCAAGACCATCATTCCCCACAATGCCCTGCTGGGTCCCTGCCTGGCCCTCTACTGAGGCAACAATGGGAAAGAGATGAAATGGGGGGTGGGGGAGGGCTCAGTTAGTCAATAATAGTAGTAACAGCAAAGAAACAATAACATGTTCCTAATAGAGAAGAAATTTTCCCTTTCTCTGTACCTGGCACTGTTCTAAGTTCTTTATATACATTGACTCATCGAATCCCCACACTCACCCTAAGGTACTCCTGCTACACTCATTCTACAGCTGAGAAAACTGAGGCACAGAAAGGTGTGGCCACTTGCCAGAGGTTACACAGCTGGGAAATGGCAGAGCCAGGATCCGAACCCAGGAGCAGGTTTGGGGGAGTGGAGGGAAGTGGAGGAGACAGACACTTCAGTATTGGGCTTCAACCACTCACCAAATGATGCTATTGCCTCCCTCTCTGGGCCCCAGAGGGAAAAGCCACCGTAGGAAGCATTCCTGGCTGTGGGCCGGGGTCTCAGATTCCTCAGTTGTAAAATGGGGGCAAGATGGCAATATTTTTCCCCACAGAAATTAGATCTCTTATGGTTCTACATCACCTTAGAATAAAACCCAAACTCTCCACTCGGTCCTCAGGCCTTCCAGGATCTAGTTCCTGCCCTCTACTCCCCCCTCATCTCCAGCCTTTACTGCTCCAGCCACATAGCCCTCCCTGCTGTTCCTGAACACGCCAAGGTCTTTCCTGCCTCAGGGCCTTTGTACTATCTGTTCTCTGCTTAGAACCTCTTAGCTCACCTCCTTCAGGTCTCACCTCCTCAGAGAGGCCTCCCTGACTACCCTGAGACTCCTGCCAACACTCTCACCTGGTTGTTTCCTTCCACACATTCATCCCACCCTGTCATTTTAGGTCTTCACTTATCAGTTGCTCGTTTCCTATTTCTGTATTTTCATCCTCCAGGGACCAAGAACACAGGTGTGTGCTGAGCATGCTGCTGATTAAGTGGCAGGCCTGGAACCCAGGCCACTTCAAAGACCAAGGCCCTTTAGCACCAAGCCTCTTGCCAACCCCCAGTCCCATCAAAGGTGTTCCCCCATCTCCCTCCACATTCCCCTCCAGTCTCAAGTCACCCCCATTCAAGCTGGGCCCTGGCCACTTCTAGATGAGCTGTATTCTTTCTTTGGAGACATCACATCCAAACCTTTGCACACACGGTATCTGCTCCTACAATGCCCTTCCCCAACTCCAGCCCCAAGGCCGCCTCTGAAGCATGGACTCTGGGACCAGCCCATCAGAGTTCAAATCCCAGCTCCATCTCTGATTAGCTACAAGACCTTGTGCAAGACAGTCAAGTTTCCAAGGCCTTAGTTTCCCCAACCATAAAACGGGACTGGTAACAGTGCTTGTCTCCCAGCCTGGGCATGACAAACACCACCAAAATAGGACTCTGCAGTGCCCAGCTCCTGGGTGAAGACTTCACCACCCAGAATGTTAACCCAGTTCTCTCAGAGCTTATAAATCTATGCACACAAGACCACTTCAACAGACATTTCTTTAAACAAAGTGTACAAATGGTCAATAGGCATGTGGAAAGATGCTTAGCATGATACATCATTAGGGACATGTAAATCCAAACCACAGGGAGATAACGTGTCACATCCATCCAGATGACCAATACCACAATAAGCAAGCAAGCAGAAAATAAAACAAAACAAAACAAAACAAAACAAAACAAACCCACAGCCACAGAAAATACCAAGTGTTGGTGAGGATATGAAGAAATTGGAAATTGGAAATTGTGCCCTGTCGGTGGGAATATAAGATGGCGCGGCCATGGTAGAAACAGCATGGCAGTTAGGAAAAATTTAAAAAGAATTACCATAGGACCCAGCAATCTTACTCCTGGGTGTAGACACCAAAGAACTGAAACCAAGGGCTTGAACAGATGTGGTAACCCCAATGTTCATAGGAGGAGTCTTCACAAGAATCCAAAGGTAGAGGCAACCAAGTGTCCATGGACAGATGTGCAGATGAACATACGCTGAAATATTATTTAGCCTTTATAAGCAAGGAGCTTCTGACACCCGCTACAACGTGGGTAAACCTCAAAAACACTATACTAAGTGAAATAAGTCAGGCCCAGAAGGACAAATATTGAGGAAAAAAAGGGGGGGGCAAATATTGTATGATTTCACCTCCATGAGGTACAGAGAGTGGTCAAATCCATAGAGACAGAAAGTAGAAAGGTGCTTTCCAGGTACTGGGGGGGAAGAGAAAATGAGGAGCTGGTGGTAAGGTCTGGGCACAGCGTGAACTTCCTTCATGCCGCTGAAATGTACCTTACACATGGTTAAAATGCTCAGTTTTATGTTCTATATATTTTTCCAAAAAAAAAAAAAAGAAAAAGAGAGTCCACAGACTGGAGCCAGAACCCCCGGATCCACATTCCTGCTCTGACCTGGTCCAAGTTACTAAACCTCTCTTGCATTCAGTTTCCCTGCGTAACATGTGAAAAAAAGCAGCGGTAACTACCTGACATCATAGAATGGAGGAAATTAAGTGCATGCATGCTTAGAAAGGACTTGGCACACAGTAAGTGCCCAGGAGGTGTTAGGATTATTCTTCACTGAGGGGGCGAGAGGCGTGGTTTCGATGTTTAGAATTTTCATGACATTCTGCAAGCCCCCACCCCAACCCCTTCCTTCCACCTGCTGCTTCTTTCTGTTCAGCAGAAGCCAGGCCATGACTTAGGTGGAGACAGAGAGGCCCTCACCTGCCCTGGAGGAGGATCAGGAAGGCTCCAGGCAACAGGGAAGGTCCAGCCAATAGAGCAGGCCAGCTTGATTTCAGCCCAGCTGTCCGGGTTGGAGACACCCAGCGGGGCATCCTCCAGACCCACGCCAGGCCCCGTGCTATTTCTGGAGTCTCCCCAGACACTCATGCCCCGGCCTGCCTGTAGTCAACCTTGCCCAGTGCTGATCTCCTGTCGGCTGACGGACAGTCCAACTCCACCAACTTGTTTATCTGTGCCTCGGTTTGTACCTGAAGTTGCAAAATGAGGACAAAGGGACTTGCAGTGGAGACAGAGAGAAACCACATGCAACACCGCAGGGAAGGGCCCAGCTCACAAGGATGGGGAAGGTGGAGGTTGGGGCAGACTCCCAGGCAAGTCCACTTCCTGCCCTGGACTGCCCTCTGCCCAGGCCTGAGCTCACCATCTTATCTTGGCCCGGGAGACGTGAAGAAACTTGCCCAAAGTCACACAGCAAGTCAAGGACAGATCACAGACAGGACAGTGGTCTTATGATTAAATATATAATCTGTAATGATTTTTATAATATATATTATATATATAATATATCATACATATATAATTTATACATTTATATATTATATATATATGATTTTTTTAACAAGGTGCTATATGCCCATGACTCAAAATTCAAAAACTATAAAGAGAATGAAGTAAAAATAAACTTCCCACTTCAGTCCCTAGCCATGCAGTTCCCCACCCTGCAGGCACCACTGTAACCAGACAATCGCGTGTTCTTCCAGGGAGATTTTTGGTAGATACAAGAAATAATGGGCATATATTCTTTCTATTTTTTTACACATATGGCAACACGCTGTATGTACTGTTTCCACCTTGTTCTTTTTACTCAACCATACATGTTTTAATAATGTTAATATATTACTAATTCTAA